TCACGATAGCACTAAGTTTGTAATGAGAGGGCCCCTTGGGCCTTAAATATACAATATAAGAAACAATATAAGAAACAATATAAGAAACACAATATAAGATAAGAAAGTAAGTACTGATGAAAATGAAAAAAAACACCTGAATTAATTTTATGCTAGTAAAGTATACTATACTAAAGTATACGTTAGTAGCATCTCTGCCAGCACAGGCAACGGGGGAATACGGGAGAATGACGGGGAAATTCGGGGAAATCTGGAGATGAAGAACTATATTTACTATTTGCTATATTTACAATACACATTTTTCGAAATGAATATTTTTATCAATAAATTATTAATAAGCTGGTCCTTTGGCAAAAAATAAATCTGGGGGCTTACGAATGAGAAAAAGTGGGCGCCCCGCTGCGCAAACCATTTTCCGGCGGGCGGAGGACGGATTGAAATCCCCTTCCTCAACTCTTAAACGGGGACGCATATGTAAGTGCCTTGCTGCTCTTGTAGGAGCTCGAAAGCTCAGGAAAAAATACATTTCGTTCCAATGCTCGATCATTTGTCTTCTTTACCAATAGACATACCTGGACAACGAATATTCTCTCTCAGCCTTACTTGCAAATTATTATTAGTGGGTCTATTTACGTGCATATGCGCGTAGTGCTGTGGCTCAACTACTGTGTCCATTGTTCGCCACTTCTTACCATTCTATTTTATGACAGTTGCCACGCACATGTCCCCTTTCAGTCACCGGCGTCAGTGCGAACGTTCAGACACGTCATTACCGTGTGATCCGTAGCCCAGAGCAAAGCCAGGTATAATCGATACGAATGACCACCGGGCTGCGAGCGAGCGAGCGAGCGCACGCGCGCGCACACACTCGGTCAAGGCGATTATGTCTGGTTATGGTCTTAGACCATGATTCACCCAGTATCTTCCATCTATATGAAGCTGCAGCCACGCCTGACAAAGTACGGTCATCTGCCGATTACGCAGTTCGTGCATAAGGCTATCACGAAGGCCCAAATGGACAAAGTCCCTATTATTTAAACGTCACCAAAATTATACGCGGAAACTTGGATATTTGCGGGATGGTTGCCCCCTCGAAGGCACGTAGCATATAGAAAAGGTCCCTAATAGTTGCAAGGAGCAATGCCTGGCGTACACAGAATGTTCGTTTACCGGCTAATTGAGTGGACGGCCTGGGCGCTTCGTCATTGTTGTTGATCTTTTCATCTGAAAGCAGGAAAGAACGAAGGTAGTACATCACTAAGTTAACTGACAAGTTGTGTGCTGCTTTGCGTACCTAAACGACTTGCGCGAAGATAATGCACGAGCACTTGTAATATTAGAAGCATATGTTAGGCATTTTTAACTTAAGGTGTTCAGTGGACTCATCGTTGCGGCGTGTGGTTTTCGGTGACTGAAGGTTCTATTTCTCACGTCGGTCGTGTGCCCATGTGAAGGCATTTTGGAATGACTTCTCAGGTCGTGCCTAACTTGACTTGTAGTCCACGCACCACTTGTCAAATACCTCTGCGTTGTATATCGTAATAGTACAAAAGGTCATTGCTTACGTAAAATAAGAGCACACAGGTCGGCAATTTGGATAAAATCGGCAAGAAAATTCCGCCTACCACATCTTCTGATGGTTGTCCTTGTTATTGGCTTCCATATTCTAAAAAAGAGCAAGAAATGAGCAAATGTAAGGTGCATACTGTAATGGTAGAGACAAGTCCGTTGAGCGTGTACACAGTAGCGTGTGAGCGCAAAAATGGCGCCTGCACTGCGCACGACAGCCTTCACATGAATTAGCCAATAATCTTGCGTGTATTCAGTTGTACCACAGTGACGCGCTTATGCCAACCAATGAGATACATTCCCGACAAATGGCTCGACATTTCGACTGCCGACATAACAACCATTGCCAATAGGGTAGAGCTTCATGTAATGAGCCCTCGGTTGCGGCTAGGGTATCCTCAAGTTCTCCTAACAGTATATGAAATAATGGACTTGTGCACCTTTTTTATACCAAAAAGTTGCACATGGGTTTGTTTCACAAACTACTGTCCAGTAAACCACCTGAGTGGTGGGGTAATGTATATTGCTGAACTCAACAAAGACCAGTTTTTGGTAATCCGTAATCGTACGGAGCTTGTTAACTAGCCGGTTAGAAACCATGCTGGAAAGCGAAATGCGCCTAAATCTGAATAAATGTGCGGTTTACTAAGAATTGGCAGATTTTCCGGGATGCTGTGCAGAAGTACAATTATTAAAAGCCAAAAGCGAACGCACACAGAAACGGTTGCAATCAAGCCTCTACCGGTTATCCTAATAGGAGCCAAATGGTTAGAAATTACAACAGCTTTTGTTCAATTCACTCGTTCTATGTAACTTAGTTTTCTGGATTCGCCTCCTTTATGTTCTACAGTTCAGTTTTTCCTGAAACTTTTTTCGAATAATTTCATTATTAGCAACTGATTTTAAGAAAGTAGGTACTCCTAAAGGCTTGCTGGGAGTACCAGAATACTAATATTAAGCAAATTTCGTATAAGAAAACTTCACAATTGTAGCTGTATTTTGGACACTGCTTCGGATCACAAGGAAGTCATTCGATCACCAAACTGAAGTAAAAGTGCGTGTTCGATAATTTGCGAATGCGTAGGCCTATTAAACGCTATCACTATATAGAGCCTACTTAATAGTTTTAGGCAAGTCGGGATAAAGTGAC